TCTCTCTCTGTATGTCTCTCTCACTCTCTCTCTCTCTCTCTCTCTGTCTCTCTCTCTTTCTCTCTCTCTTTCTTTATACTGATTGAAATAATCAAATAATATGACATATTAAATTCTTTTCGCCCTCCATTCCTCTGATTGATTTGAACTTGAAAATGACATTCCCACGATTAATGAAAGCGCCTTAATCTTTCGAGCATTTTATTTCATTTTTCCTGGGTCATACTCGTCTTGACCTGCTATTTCTAAAAACTGACTTGACAACTATGATCCTCTTATCACACTAATGTGTCACCTTTTAACGGTTTGTTTTACAGGTTGCGTTTATTTTTATTTCATTCGTTTCTGTTTTATCTTTTTTCGAACTGCCATGGTGTTCATGTCAAACCTAGCGCCAACACCCCCTTCTCCCGAAAAAAAAAAGAAAAGATAAAAATATATGAAGGAAAGGAAAAAAACAACCCCATCTTAAATGTTTTTCTTTGCATTCTGTTGTGGTCAAAATAAAAACAAAATTAAGAAAAGAAAGTGACTGAAAACGAATGTCACAGGTACGGTATGTTTACAAATTATGTTATTGGTTTTGAAAAACAGTATTGTTTCCTTGTGTCTGCAGAGTCTTCTTTGGACAGTGATTGAAGAAGAAGCCACAAGCAGACCGACATTCATCTTTTTCCCCCTGAGTTCCGTGTCTGGAGTGACGTCACGATGAGGGCGGGACGAAACGCAGACTTCCTCGTTCTCCTCGTCTTGACCGTTTTGGGCACTCTTTTTACTACAGGTATGTCGTCAGTGCATGGAACAAAATTAAATGAAATGATATTATTATTTTGAAGTTGTGTATCCCACTTTGCGTTGGCTGAAAGGGATAATTAAAACCGTACAATTGACAATGATGTACGTTTTCCTCACTAACATCTTTAATTTGGAGAGCGCCTCTTGTAGATCAAGGGTAATAATGATGATTATGAGGATGATGATGATGATGATGATGATGATGATGATGATGATGATGATGATGATATAGATTTTAAAACGCAAAGTGTTTGCTGTTTGAGTAGGAATTTGTGCTATACAATACTATTTATTATGATTATGATTATGATTATGATTATGATTATGATTATTATTATTATTATTA